CCCTTCCAACCTCGACTATTCTGTGATTCTAATTTCATGGAAATCACTTGCGGTATTAGAGTTGTCTTGTGTGTATTATCAAACGTGCACTGATGGCTTGAGATAATTAAACGTGATGGCACCAGATGCTTAGGAATCCATTACAGAGAAATTCGTTTAATTAATATAAAGCCATTGCAACAATGGCCAGCTCATAAAAAATGGGTACTTAAGGTAGCAAGGATTATAGTGATGCAATTGCCCTCATGCAGTTAGACAAGAGGATATTGAAATGTTTCATTAAAACTGGCCAGACTTCACAGAAACTAGGGAAGGGGCGAAAGTCATTCAGGATCCTTTTAAAATGCCACGTTTTGCATTATGCAGTTTAACTGCATAATGCAAATTTGATAGCGTCTTTTGGTAATTTGGTAGCATCTTTAGCTGTTTTCTTAGTTCTTTCCCAAAGGAATAACTATGCCTCTACTGTAAATGAGATGCCATGTGCACACAAAATGCCTGTTGGGTGCCAGGCTCTAAGTCATTAACCACTGAGTTACAGAAGCGTGTTCAGTGAGTTCTGTGTTTCAGTTCTTAGGGCTTTTGTTTCATATGTAGGAATGTAATATGACTCTTACTACATTAATATTTTACTGCAAGAATATTTTTTAGAAGATTTTCAGATCCTGTCATTTAGAGGTTGGCTGTATGGGAAGTGTGGGCTGAAAAACATCATCTCTTATAGACATGACAGCTTGCTGAGCTAAGTGTGGAGATTTATTGTAATTGAGAAGGTGGCAGCAGAAGTAGAGTAGATTACGGCATGCTATGATTGTCCTGGCTCTGGGTGCAGAATGTTTTCTTTTGTTCTTTACAGCGATCGAGTTTATCCCTATCTAAAAACCATCCTTGCTTCTGAGTGTGTGCTCTCCTCTCTGGAGGAGTGCTTGGATTTGAGTTAGTGTAATTTTATAAAGCTGTGTGATGGACTGAAAAAAATATAATTTGTCTCCTCCTGCTTTTGTTTTAGTGTACCTGGACAGCCATATTTGGATGAGGCCTACAGAAGTGTCTGTTTTCAAACTTTCCTAAGTATTCTGCAGTCTTTGAAAACCCCTGACATGGATGATATCACGTTTTGCATGGTAAGTGGGTGTTTAATGGTCCAGAATGCTCCAATTAGTTCTGTGCTGCTCATAGAACTGCTAATAAAGCATTCAAGTCACTGTGTAATTTGGAATTCAAAAGCTAACTGTACTATAATCAAATATTTCCTCTTTGGCAGAAGTGTATGTACTATAGAAGATGTACTATACTTACAACTTGGAATATTGTTAACTGGGACTCTGCTCAAATATCCAAACCTTTTCTTGTTTTTCAACCAGATAGCCTAAGTGACTGTCTCAGTATTTATGTTAAGCAAAACCAGAACTGCTTAGGTGGTCACCTAAAGATGCAAACCTTCGGTGTTCTGGAAAGGGAAAATAAGTAATTCTGTGTTTTTGTTCTCAGTTGCTGCAAAATGCACTGAAAGGTATCCAGTCACTTCTAAATGGTGGGAAGATGAAGCTAATGCAAACTGACCAACTTGGATCCCTTCTTGCGGTGTTAAAGGTGAATATTCAAATCCATTTTCAGAAAGAGGCAGGGAGAGGTGGTTGAATTTAAGATTTTGCAAAGCTGTTACATAGATGTTACATAGCCTGGGGAGAGGCCGCACAAAAACCCGTAAGCATCACAAGCCGTACTGAAAACTGATAAACACCTGACCAAACGTACACCAAGAGGGATGCTAACATTGTTTTGTTGCTGTTCTAGAAATGTATGTTCCATGGACTGCCAGGACTGAGCATAGAAATGCCTCCCGCCTTGTACCCAGCTCCGTTGCCTCAGTACGATAAAAGGTCGCCTGTCAAACAGGAGCAATCCGAGTTGGCTGCCTTTAAGCAAACAGGGGTAACCTGAAAATATGTTGCTTTTATTGCATGCAGATGGTGTGCGTATGTGTATTTGTTGTGCTAGTGTGCTACCTGACACGATACTAGTGTCTTTGTGTTCTGAGCACGTGATACATTTCAGGTCTTTACTTTAAAGATATTGATTATAAATCTCTACATGGAATAAAATTGCTGTGTAAACTTGGATGACTAAAACAAATGGCTCTGCAAAGATTGTTTTTCCTTGCTCTGTGTGCATCAGTTATTCATCTGTAGCCAAGAATTCTTGGCCTGCAGACGTGGGACTGCTAGCAGACTAGTCAGAGCTTTTCATTTTATAAATTGCATTCTTTCTCCCCTAACACTTGCCCAGTTATTTGACTTCTTTCATAGGGAAGTCAAGTTCATCTAGAGACTGCATTTTTTTTTCCTCCTCCCTGATCTGCTCTGCTTAATCCCTCTACAGGTTATTATTTAACCTTGTTAAAGCATTTTGGATTACAGATTATCTGAAAAACATTAGACAAAAGTAAAGTTGCACAGTCATGCTATTTACTTTTTGCTTTCTGGATGCTAAATACATACTGTAAATCCAGAAGAACTACAAGAACATTTGCTGTTCCTCTCTGTTTTAGGTGAAGATTTTAAAGAAAAAAATTGTTTGAAATTTTATGATTTACTGAAGAACAAAGACTAGAGCTAAAGTTAGCATTATTATTAACAAGCAGAGTTTGCAGGCTGTCATATGCTAATGGCACGTGACTGTCTATGTGTGTATTATTGCACAGGATATTATATGTGCAATGTTGTTGCATAGAGGATGATAAATAGCTGTGATAATTTTTTGGCAAACTAAATCTCATTTAAAAATGACTCAGCAACTAGAATGTATGAAACTGACTTGATGAACTTCATCAAAGGCATGATTTATTATATTACACTCACCTTTTTTTTTCTGCATTAACAATTTTATTTTCAGATGACACCTTTTCTCCTTAGTAAAGAAACTTACAACTGTAAAATGCTTAAGCATCTTTCTAGGTTTTATTCCAAAAGATTTTAAAAATTTATTTTTCTTCTTAAAATAGAACCGGAGGAAAAAGTCCAAAGGGAAACAAAAGAAGGAAGAGTCTGGGGAAGACACAAAAGAAGATTTGGCTGCTACAGGGAATGAAACAGACATGCTGAAATTACATGTGGAGGATGTGCAGAAGAGTCCATGTTCCAATCCTCGGAGTCATACATTAGATGTTGCAAACAGGCCCGCTGAAAAGGATCATTTATCTTCACATTACAATAATTGGAAAAGAATCAGCAGCAGTGAGTCGGAATATTCTGATGCTGAAGGTGGAATTCAAAGCAAAACGAGGTAAATGTTTGTGTAAACATAAAGCATGATAGCAAACAATATTTTTGTTGCTAACAATTTCAACTTAAACTTATCACGTCCAATGATACTTTTGTTTTTATAGATCTGGCACCAGTTTTACATATGTGTAGAACTCCTTATGCTTCTGTATGCTTCTTTCAGCTAGCTATTAACATAAATGAAGGAGGCTAAGTCCATTACTTTTCTCTGATGCTATTTCATTAGTCTTTTTATTTTTGTTTTTAAGATCTTATCAAGCCAAAGTTCGTCAGGGGGCTCTAACCTGTTTCCTCTCAGCTATAAAGTCAATAGAAAAAAGAATTCTTTATGGCTACTGGTCAGCATTTGTTCCTGATGGGCCTGGTATTGGCAGCCCCCAGTCGGTGTCTTTGATGACTATTGCATTAAAGGACCCCTCTCCAAAGGTGAGGTATTTCTGTAGAACTGAAAATGTATTTCTCAAGTATTAATCTTTAAGCTTTGATTCTCTGACCTTCAGAAAGCAGAGTACTTTGGCTCCTGAATTTGTGTTGCCTTTGTTACTGTACCACAAAAAATGAAAGACTATATATTGTTTAAGGAAACAAAGGATTGGCTATATGCTATCTAAAGTTATGAGAAATGATTGTTGGAGACTCATAAATTTTAAACTCCTCCATCACCTCAAAGGAGATGTTAAGAGGGACAGAAGAGGAAATTTTTCATGTTATCACATGGTTGTTCAGATTATGATTTCCGGCAAATTAAGAAATGAAGGAGCTTTAGCAAAGAAAGTTCAAATGCTATAGAAATATGTTTCAGCCAGCGTCGCCAGGATGAACATGCAGTCAATTGTTATGCACTAGAAGCAAATAAGGTAATTAAATTGAAATTTTCACCTTCTCCCTTAAAAGCCAATTCCCAAAGGCTAATGGAAGTAGTGATTTCTCCTTTAACATTTTATCTTTGTTAGAATTACTGAGGAGGAGAACAGAAATGTCAGTTGGTACTAATAAAAAGGGTTCCAAAGTTGTCCTGCATAGTAAAAATATGGTTTGCATCACATGGTTGAGATGAGAATTCGAGAAAGCATAGCCAAAATATTGGATTCTCAGAAATTCTTTCCTGGCTAATAAAAGAGGACAACTTGGAAAAGGGCAAAATGTCAAGTCATTCCAATGAAGTTTTGCTAAAAATTTAGTTTATCTGGAGTGCTGTAACTAAACTGGTTTGGGAGAAGCAATGGTGAGATCTCTTGTGTTGTAAAGAGTTGTCTTGGAACTCAGCTTTGATGAAAAATGATGTGAGGAAATTCTCCAGTCCTTACTCAGGAAGTATTTTTCTAAGGAAAGAAAGGTGTGGCGTAATGGCCTCAGGTTAAACTGAAGCAAGTATGTAA